GAATCGAACCCAGGGCCTCGAGCATGCAAGGCAAGCGCTCTACCACTGAGCCACCTTCCCAGCCCTACACTACTTTCTGTTGAGGGTATGAATCTATTTCCTAGAATTTTCTTTTTTAAGCTTAATTTTGTCGGTAATTTCTGTTATTTTTTCCCTCTCGAAAACCTCTGGGCTATCATCTTTTTGGTATTACCTGGGCATCTTTGTTTGTTTAACTTTGCTTTGTGATACATGTGTGAATTTTATCCAGGTGCCGTTTGCAGATGAGATGTGTGAATTATTCTCCCTGCCCCTTCCTTTTTGGGGGTAGAGCATACTGGTATTTGAGCTGCCTTACACTTACTAGGCAGGCCGTCTATGACTTGGGCCATCTCCCCTCATCCCCCTTTTGTTTTACATATTCTTGGAGGCCAGACTCCCTACCTAAGCTTCTTGTGCTTCTAGGATTACAGCTGTGAACCACTATGACCCTCTTCTTTGAGTTGAGGTCTCATTATTTTTTCCTCAGGCTGACTTCAAATCATAATCCTCTGTATCGTAAGACTTCAAATCGTAACCCTCTGTATCGTAAGCTCCCAAGTAGCTAAGATGACAGATATGAGCACCCCCTCTCCACTTGGGCAGCATGCTGAGAGAGTTGGGTTTTCCCAGGTCAGTGACCTGTTCCTGGCAGGACACTACTATATCTCTGCTCCTTGGCACTCCATGGCCTCCTCCATTTCCTGGTTCTCCAATCCTTTGATCATTTGATCATTACACATTGTATACATGTATCCATAAATACACAACTATATATCAACTAAAATTGTGTACGCATGAAGTATTACTCAGCCATCCAAAAGAATGATCTCTGCTTTCTTAAAGACTGACAGTTAAGTGGTTAATAGCCAGAGGAGGGTGGCCTTCCACACAACGATCTGCACAGACAGAAGCCTGGAGAGCCGCTGAGTGGCTCAGCACGTTGGCAACATTGCCAGTGTTTTATGTCTGCTCATAGTTCTTATATGTCTCTCTTAGGTAAGATAATGCAGGAGTGTTATTAGCTACACTTCACACTCCTCCCCCTCCCCCGCCTTTGTAGTTCTTCAAGATTCCCCATGGCTCTAGCCAATACATTCGATTGCTCACTAGGCATCCTGCATAGCTTACCTTCCGCTCCACAGCCTCCCACAATGTGTTAAAGGGGGATTTGTTATCTTTTCCCACAAAGCACCCTTTTCCTGTCTCTCAGGCTTAAAAACTTTGCAGTCCTCCTTGACTTGGGCCTTGAATAACTTCTTTGTGAGCACTTCTGAGTGTGCCAGGTTAAGTCTGACTCCTTCCTCTCCCTGGGGTTGCCTTTCCCGGTCTGGGTGAGGCTCTGCTCCTGTACCAGGCTGTTAGCAGTCTGCACGTACACCCACCTGTCACCTAGTGTCCCTTCAGCCAGTTCTCAGATGACTTGTCAGATTTCTACTTTGTCTGAACTGCTTCTTTCCTCTGATTACTCTTGAAATTGTCCACTGTGACTTTTCTTTCACATTCTACAGTACACTGTTTTTAGCAAGACAAATCTCTGACCTGCCAGAGACAGGAATATTTCTGTCCCTGGAAGTATTGGGCTCTTATGAATTCCTTGTCTCTCCTTTGCCCCTAATTGTCTTTAAAAACGACATCAAAGAACATCTGGATTTGAATTTCATACCTAGCTCTATAGTTTCTGACAGGAGATCATGACTTTCAGTGCTTGAGTATGTTGTGTTCTCTCTAGAGCATTCTTTCCCCTCCCCCCTTCCCCCACCCCTTCCCCCTCCCCCCTTCTTCAAAGACAGTCTCACTATGAAACCCAGGTTGGCCTGGAAGTCAGAATCCTACTGCCTTAGCCTCCCTAATGCTGGGATTACATGCGTGCACTACCATACATACCCAGCTCATCGGCCAATTTTAATTCCTGCTCATCTTTTATTTTTCCCATTTTGCTGTCCTACATCATGGCTGGTGGTTTGGTGTGTTTCTGTTATTTTCATGGCAGGATGTACATTTCTTGAAGGTATTTAATATTTTGTTTGCTCATTTATACATTTAATATAGCTTAATTTGAATTTGAAGGTTGCCAAGGCAGTTATTTTATCAGCATTTTTCCCTCTTGCCATATACCTAGGAAGGCAGAAGGATATGATGCTTAGTTCAACGGTCAGTTTGTAAGAGAGCCCAATATTTGAGATAGTTTTCTGAGGACGGAAGTTAGTTCTCTAAGTACTTTGATAATAAAATTTCCACTTAAGCATTTTTTTTTTTAACTTTTCCTCGTTGGCAAAGGTACTGATGTCACTGACCCTTTTCTTTTCTGATGACTTGCTCATATTTGTGAGACTTACTCATTTTTGTAATCTTATTCCTCAGAAAAGTGCCAAATGCATGTTGGATCATTTTTGACTAAACATGTCATTGTCATGATCGCTTAGCTTTCGTCATCTATGGAATGTTAAACTGACTTTGTGTATCTTAACTCCAAGAGGAGCTTTCTTTCTTTTTGGCCAGTCTATAATTATTTACTTGTCTTTAAAGTGAAATTCAGAATCAGTACCTATGATAGACCATGGTCTAACTTTTGAACGAAAGAAGAGGTGGTGTGGATAAATGCCCATTGATATTTGTCTGATTATGACTTGTTAACTTTCTGTATATAAATTAAATTCACTCAAACAAAAGTATTGGGGTTATTTTCCCTTTGCCTTTTCACCTTTAATAATTTACAAATTGCTTTCTTTTTAACCAAGACATTAAAAATACAAATTGTACATACGATTCTATGATATTTTAATATATGCATACCTGTAATCAAATTAAATGTTTGGGGTTTTTGTTTGTTTTTTGATGGAATAGGGACTAAGCAGAGCATTGTGTTTGCCAGGTAGGTGCTCTACCCCTGGAGTAGCGCCTCCAGCCCCCTTTTCTTAGATTATTTTGGAGGTAGGGTCTCAATTTATGTCCTGATTTGTGCTTCCTCAAGTAGCTGGATGACAGGTGTATACCACTGTACACATTGGTTGAGTTAGTGTCTCTAGAACTTTTTGCCTGAGCTGGCCTCAAACCACAACCCTCTTTCCAAGTAGCCAGAATTACTGGCTTAAGCCACCACATCCAACTGTCATTTATCTCTTCTTTATAGCAAAACCACTCAAAAACTTTTCTTCCAACTTTTTGAGATAAACAATAAACAACTGCTTTCTAGCATCTTCCCACAGTGCAATAACTGCTCTAATGCTAAGTCTCTTTTATTGTGTCTTGCTGCATTTTTGTCCAGCGGGAAGACCAGCTTTGGGAAGGGGGGCAGTGCACAGTGGTCTGGGAAGCCCTGGGAGCCAGAGTTGCCTGAAGGGGTGACCCTATAGAAGAAAGCCAAGGCTGAAGACTTGAGCTGTCAGTAAGGGATAGACAAGTCATAAGGCCTTTAAGGACCAGATCAAGTCTATGTGAATGGAAATCATTAGCCAACAGCCACATCCTTGACCTTCGGGCAGTTGCTCTTTGTCTAACCTTGGAGGGAAGTAAATTCTACCTCTGAGCCCGCAGTGGTGCCCTGAGACACTAGGGGAAAACCAAAGGGATGGTTCTGGTCCCTTGAATGGATTTGGAAGCTCACTGTCTCGTTTTAGCATTAGTAACTGCAGTATTCAAAATAGAGTGTTCTCCAGAGGGCTTTCTAGTGACAATTGCCAAAGGTTTCAGCCCTTACGAGCACAGCTGTTGATTAGAATCCTCCTTTGCGGCCTGTGGAGGCTGGCGCCATGCCCCAGCACTCCTAGCCCTCTTGTCTTTTCTGTAGAGTCTTCCTCAGTCACCTTCAATAAAAGGCCGGTGTCACACACAGCCACAGCTGAAATGTCCTTCCTAAATGCCTGTGTTCCTGCACAGGGCCATGCAGC